TTGTGATTAGAGTTTTCACTTGTTTCTTGACGTGCAGATGTCGTGGCCGGCCAGCACTTTGTGAACCTCCATGTGCAGATTATGTGGCAGGCACAGCACTTTGTGAGCCTCCAGTGGCACAGCGCTGGGGCTTTACTTCCGCTAGTTGTGGCTGTACACACATGTCTGCACAATACCTCGTACATCCGCCGTGCACATTACTCTCCCACACCTCTGTCGTGTAATTCTGATATAATTCCTGACAAGGCCATGTTGTAGAAGCTATTGAGACTCTGACTGCTTTGTGCTTTAGAAACTTAAGATTCGTAAAGATTCATATGTGGGGTTATCCCGTCCTTTAACTTGATATGTTATGTGCTTGTTGTCGCTCCACCCCAAAAAATATACTGGTACCTTCATGTATCCTATATGTTAGGAACATCATGGACAAATTGAGAGTAGAGCTGTTTTTACTGAGCCAGGGGTGTTTCTTTTTGAGATGTCGCTTAGGTTTGCTGCGTCCTGTTGCTAGCTGCTTGGCACGCATTGTGTACACGGACGGGTTGGAGGTCGGGAGACGGAAACTCAAGACAAAAAAGGCCCAGACCAGTGGCCAAGCTCCACTCAGACCGCACCTTGTCAAAAAGGTTTGGGATTCTGCGCAGATTCCCCTTCCTCCCTATCTTGGCTGGTACAACGTATGTCTTGCCAGCATGAGTCTCTACTCGCTCTACAAGGCCCTGAAAAGCACCTTCAAAAAATGGCCTTTCTGCAGCTCAGGAAGCTAATGCGGATCCGAACCTGGCGCTGGGACCCGAGGACAGTCTGCTTGAGTCTGCTGTTTGGGCCAGGCTGCAAAACCTCCCCCCACCAGAGGCCTGCTTTGCTGTGTTTTGTCGCGTCCAAGAAACCATCGTCGTCCCGTTTCCGTCGTTTCCATACATTGCTTTGCCATCGTTTTCCGTGGAACACATGTTTAATCTTTGCTGGATGGAGGGTGAGAAGCTTTTTGGGGCTTGCGGGTTGAGTTGTTGCTTATTGGAGCTGTTTGCAGATTGCCTTGTAGGAGAGCATACAAGGATATATATAAAAGGAACAACCCTCAACATACTATTGTTTGGCCATGCGTAACGCAGATGTTTCTAAATCCGCGTAGGTCTATGACAGCTCATTCCTACACCAAGTCAGCATGGTTAAGGTACTTGGCCTCCGATTTTGACTGCATCATGTCCTGGAGCCACCGGACAAAGGGAAGATGAAATGATATCATCATCGGAGCAGGTCACATATCTCAACCTGCCTGTAGCCAAGGATTTGCAAAAAGCGTCCAGCCAGCAGGGATCTCTTGAGTTTGTTGTAATACCTTTTTGTGAGTATGGGTTTGTCTCCAAATTGGGAACCCCCCCAACCTTCCCCAAGCAATAGAGGTGTTCTTCTTCTGCGTGTTCCGCAAAACTTCCCGGGATCCAATGGAGGAGGTCGCCATTTGTCTACCATCCAGCGCCGGCACCAGCGCACGATAGAGGAGCAGATGCGCCTGGAAGTGGCGCAACTGGAGCAAGAGAAGCTGTTGGCGGTGGAGCAGGAGGACTTCAGTCGTAGGTTGCATGGTTGAAAGGGATGGGTGCCACAATATGTCACCTGGGAGGGTTCATCATCAAAGCTTGTGACTTCGGGTTCAGTGGAGAGCGAAGAGGTTCTGTACAGCTTGACGTGACGTTTCAGGAACACATCGTATTCCGCAGAGGTTGGAGGCCTTGACCTCTGTGGTCGTGACTGTTGGGATGACTATGGATGACTTGGGGCCCACTCGATTCTGTGGTTATTCGTCCTGCTGGTCCGTGCTTTCTCCCCCCAAAGAAAGTGTTCGTTGAAGACACCAATTTGACTGTTGGTTCGTGGCTGAGGTATTTCACAACCAAAAGTTTTGTGTCCATCCCAAACAAAGATCATGGTCAACTAAGTGTCCAGTGTCCACCGATAATCTTAAAGTAAAATGACTTCCACATCTTCTTCGTCGGACGTTTGCACCTTTCGGCCACTGGCAGGACTACAAGCTGGCGGAGACCTTGAAGCAGCGCTTGGCCGCGCTGCGTGCATCGCCGCAGCACGCCGTCACGTCTGCAGGCAGGTGGTCTCAGGGTCGCCCAAGATCTGGATGAAGCAGTGAACGGGGTGAATGCGTATTTTCCCATAGGCTGGTAGGTTGGCTGGGCGAATCCCCAAACTGGCGTGCGATGTGTCCGTCTTCTCCCAAACTCCTAGGATCGAAGTCGTGCGAAAAAGGAGCCGTCGCAGCATCGAAGCCCTTTTCGGCCGGTCCGGCAGGATGAAAACAACAGGTTCCGCAAAGTCAGAGAACATCACAACATCACTAACACTGGAAACAGTAAAAGGAAATATGAATGTTTAGGGAATCTTGTTCAGCAAAACAACGGAAGTGCTACCAACAGATTGCAGGTGCAACTGCTGCTGCAGAGCTCTTGTGACTTGCTTAAGTTGGTTTTCCGGGGTTGCTGGATGATGAGGGGCGGCCCATGGTTTAATGGAATCTTGGCTCAGTTTCAGTTCTCCTTAAATCGTTCTCTTTAGCATGCCCAACTTTGGGGGTTGACCATACCCAAACAGCTAAGAAGATGTTGTGACCAGTGTTTTATTCAGGGCACAACAAAAGGACACACAAACCGCACAGCAAGTGGTGTCGGGCCGCCAAGTCAAGTCAAAACTGAATGCACGAAAAAGTCACGGGAAAGCAGGTGTCTAACCAGTGTTGAACAAATATATGACGGTAGATGTCATGTTGCGTCTCTTGCAGGAATATCCTTTCGGCAAAGATTATTGATTATTGCCTTTTTACAAAGTTATAGCTGATTGATTGCTGGGGTCCTTTCCTGACAGAAAGGGATATCCTCTCCAAAATCTCATGATTTCTGTTCATTCACCGCTTCACACCAGCGGTTTTTTGAAGCCACTGAGGTACCAAACTTGGATCCGACACCCATCGCCATAAGACCCACACTGGCCGTATCGGCCCTCCGAGGAAGGCGTTGCACGGCCACGACTTCGAGGCGCCTCGGATCCACCGAGCCTACGATGAGCTCCGCGGGGTCACGAGCTCTGAGGCGCGGAGCGGAGGCGGAAGGGGTACATTCAGCATGTGGGCAGGGGTGGTGATGGAGGACGGAAGAAACTGTAAGACGTCTTAGGGAGGAATAAGAGCCTTTAAAAAGTGTACAAAACATATATATATATATATGAGGTCTGTTGAAAGTCATTGAATCATGATTTGGAATAGGCACGATCGATTCTTTTGGAAGTAGGGATTGTACCTCTAGAATGAAACGATTGGAATTCACTTGTTCTTGATTGATAACCATTGGGCTAACGATTGTTAACGATCAACCTTTGACCAATGCTTTGAGGTTTCCCATGCATAGTTGAACGGTGATGGTCCAGGGTCCGAATTGGTTCATTTCACATGTGTTCCATGGTTTTTCTTCGTTCATTCAGCTAGGTGTTTGGGTGACCACCGAGCGGCTCTACGGCTTGAACAGCGGGACGACCAGCGAATCGCGAGCGAATCGCGAGCGAGCGAGCACTTCTTCGATCGAGAGAATCGCTCCGCTGGGTGGACGTTCAGGTGCAGAACATCCCCAGCCGTGTGGAGGCTTTGCTCCAAGAGGCCAGGAGTTCACAGCAGAAGTGGCCAGGAGGAACAAAACGCTCTTAGGAACCTCAACTATAAGGCCTGCTAGGTTGGTTGGAGCCCATTACTATTAGGTTGGAGGTCATCGCTCTTATGTTGGAGGCCATGGCTACTAGGGTGGAGGCCATCGCCCCGAGGACAGGAGTTCACAGATGGTTGGAAAAAAAAAAAAGCAAAACCATTGTTGGTCGACATCCTGTACATATATAGTTTGACTTCCAAGGAATCCTTGGATGACAGGAATCCCATATATCCCATATATCCAAGGAATCTTGTTCATTCAGAGTAAACCACTTCCAAGGAATCTCTCATTTTGTGATCCAACTAAAGCCAGCTGTTTGGGGCCATCTCAGACTGGAACTCTTCCGGCGTTGTCCCGGTCCGGCCATGCAACGGGCTAGCGAGCCTTTCGACCAACACCTCTAACTCTAACCATTTTTCGGAGTTCTCTTCTCCACTAAACAAGAGCAGGTGGAAAAAGGTTAACCATGTTAACCGTTATTTTCCAGGAAACTGAGGGAGTCAAAGACAAAAATTTAAATTGGTGATTGTCTCCAAAAATCACTGACCGGGTCGTTTGAGCTGGTCCACCTTAGGTCGTAGACACCTGCCTTTAAGCTGAGACTCAGCATCCTGCAACCCATGGAGCATATGGCAGATGGTAGTAGGTGAACCTCCCATAGTTGGCGTTCTCGATCGAATGTTGACTGCAGGTGGATCGTTTTTGGCCAGGACAAATATCACATGTCTCATGTCCAGTATTTTCAGGAAAACTCACATTTGGAAGCGTTAGGTTAATGTTAAGTCCCCCGAAGAGACGGCAGCGCCTGATTTGTACCATCCATCGTTGTCCAGGGTTTTGAAGTTGGGCGCATGATAAAGTTTCAGGGCCTTCCCAATAGAGACAAGACAGATTGGTCTTACAACATTGGTAAATAGGTCGACATTGACATCAGGTGGCGCCGGCAGCTCAATTGGAGAAGCTGCATGTGCCGGGTCACTCAGTGGTACCCGCAAAGGGGTGGTTCAGAGGTGGTTTCCTCACTTGGACGGTGGAAAACGGTGCAACAAAGTGGACGACGGTCGAGGATGCACTGCGAAGTCCGTGGCAAAAACCCGTTGAGGCTTCTGGGGATGGAATTTCACATCACAACCGTCACAACCTGTTTTGTTTTGTAAGGTGTTGCAGATCGGGGAAGATCGACAGCACATCGTTTCTTAAACATAAGATACATAAGACACATGGCACCACTGGACACGTTCCGGTGTTCCGGTGTTCACTGTGAAGGATTCTTCCTCTTTGCTCAAGAGGGCTACGAGCGTTTGAATGGGTCCCTAACAGTTTCAACAAGCGGAAACTCATGTAAACTCCCCTGTCCAAAACAAAGCTTTGAAGCAACTCTGCTTTAGAATATTAGAATCAGTCTCCAAGAGTTTGAGCCATCCATTTCGATCTTGATCTAAGCGCAGCTGGCACCAGACAGCGATTCCTAAAGGATGTGCCTCATCAAAGTTGGGCATCCAGAACTAGTTTGGATGATCTATGGCACATGCCATTGACACCCATCCAACTGCCATAGTGTCTTTATATTCTGGTTCAGGTGCAGTTTCTTTGCCAAATCTTCCCGACTCAATTCATTGAGTCTTTGAACCTTCCCTCAACTCGAGGAGCAGCTCCCGCACGGACTTCGGCGTCCCCCGAACAGCGCCGTCTCCCGCGCCGTCTCCTGCGGCAACCGCGGCGCCGCGAACCACGGCGCGGGCGGTCGCCGCGCGGGCGCCGCAGCAGGACCAGCAGTGGGGAAGAAGCCTCCAAACTAAGAGCGATGGCCTCCAACCTAAAGCTGTTGGAGGTGGGCGGTTAGTTGGTCAAGGAGTTTTGCATTCATGAATTAGTCTTGAGGTGGATCAAAGACTCGGAAACTGGCCAAGAACGTGGGATTGATGCTACCTTAAGTAAGAATGGGTAAGAACTTTTGGCTGTGGGTCTAAACATGAAAAACCCTTGTGCTTGTCTCAGAGAACGTCCCGGGGCAAAGCCAACAAAATCAATGCAGCAATGTATGTTTGAGGCAGCATCGCATAAGTGAAGGCTCACAAAGTGCACAACGTTTAAGCTTAGCAAGTTGTGCATTGTTGGGTTCCAAAGAGCAATCCCCTCTTCAATCAATTGCATACATTCTGATTCTGATAGTGCCTACCGTCACAAGACGAGCAGTTCGTATCGTCGCATCATCAAGACAAGCAGGGATGTGGCATATGCAGCATATATATAATATAGTTACTGTATATCTGAGAGAAATGGAACCTTTCTTTAATACTGTGTGTTTCTGCTGTCCTTGGCTGCATGGGGACCCCACTGATATGGTCACCAATGATGCATTGTTCCACCAGAAGTAGCGGCCCGGACCAACTGGCCCTGCAAGTCCAGATGGTTGATCATGGAGATGCAAAGATAGTCTCTCTCTTAAATCACATGTAGGATCCTAGTACTGAAATCATCTGAAATGAAGGACATCTTCTGCCCTGGAGCATTGCATTTCCGGGGACGCACGTGTTCTCCTTATTTTCGCACCTGATCCACCGACCACGATGCCATAGAAACACGACGAAACAGGACGCGACTTGCGGCTCTGCACCTGGGTTGCAAACCGTTTCTGCAGGAGGATGATGAAGGGGTGCCATGGCTCCAGAATCAGCTCCCAATCACTGAGAGCGACGAGGAGCGCTGCTGAGCTCTTCGGGTTTCGGCGGCTGTGGTATCTGATCAGTGCATGTTGATGGCACTGTTGGGGTTGGGCAGTTGGATCATGCAGCCACCATCAGCCACCCCAAGCAACTGTGTTCGATGCTCCTGTTTTGGGGTGGTTCTACGCCATTCTTGAGACTTGAAAAAAGGGACACAAAGGACATCCCATATCAGAAGGCAACCTTGGTATTGTTGGGGCCCTGAGCCAAACTGAGCATCACCTCCGTCCAGCAAGTCAAATTTCAAGGGACTGCAAGCTGTTGCTTCATGTTTTCATTGGCCGAGGATCCAATAGCTTCCATGCACCAATTCAACAGTACACCATGACAAAGGTCATTCTTCAAGGTTGGGGGCGACTCTGCTGAAGATCAACCTTGCTGAAGACAACAGCACTTTTTTCACCAACACTGCTTTCCTGGATTGATGTCTTTTTGGTGCTGAGAACATGCTCAGAGTTACAGAACTCTGAACACCCAAACTGTTTTTGTTCATCTTCCGAACCTTTTCTTCGTTCCCATAGCGCAGACCAGGCGCGCGTATCGGTCGTGAAGTATCGCGTGCTGCAGAAGGCGCCGGAACCCGCGGCCGAGTCGGGTCGGGTCAGTTTCGGCGTCATCGACCGGATCGATGGCATCCTGCGGTTTTCGGAGTCCGGGAGAGTCTGGGAGATATGCCGAGGTGCTCACCCGTGCCATTGGTGTATATATTATATGTAGAATATACCGTTTCAATCAAACATCGCTGAAGCCACGTCCTCGTTTCAAGACGCAGGTGGAAGATCGTGGAAGACATAGGTATAGATAGATTAACATCAACAAAGTGGGCTGTAGTGCGGCAATTTCTAGTCTTTGGCCAAGAAGCCAGTCTGGCATCTCAACCGCGATACTTGATCCATGTTGACCCAGTGGAAGGGATTGATGTAGGTGGGTAGGTTAAAACGTGTCAGATGTGATATCTCTCAACACTCAATCTTGAAGTGAAAACACTCATCCTTGTGACGACATCCCCGGATAATTGTGGTTTAAGAATCCTCACCATGCACAATACAGGCAGGTGTTTCTTTGCAGTCGTACTTTGAGAATGTATCATATCTATATTGCTGAGCCCCTGAAGGATGATGTTTGGGTAGTAGGGTCTTGCAGTGGAAGTATTCTTTAATCCAGAAAGGGAGGCCTGAACATGTCTCCAAGGACATTATATAATCTCGGTTGACCTTGTCCACCACGGGCTCTTCATCCATCTCATGAAGACAAGCAGCAGATGAGTGTTATTTCAACTGAATCAAACAGATGCAACCAGGACCAAACAGCCGCAACCAGCACTTAACTATGGCCAACAGATGAAAGCATTTGCAGTTTAGTTGAGGTTCTGCACATCCCGAAGAGCTTGCTTGTCCCACTTTCCAGCCAAGTCAAGCCAGTCAAGCCGTTAAGCCGTCAAGCCATCCGTCTCAGGCACCGGTCTTTCAGGAGCCTTCCATGTGGGGGAGCCCATGGGGATCGATCGTGAGGTGTGCCCTTCGGCGTTCAATCCACTTAGCATTGAACGGAACGTCACCTCACAAGTATATATACACATACGGCTGTTAACTGTAAATGAAGGGAAATTTGATCCCCTAAAAAGCGTGCTGATCATCCAGTGCAAGTAAAGACCCAAAGCCAGGTAAGTATTCCGTACTGGGTCTTGCCTGGAAACCTGGGTGAAAAGACTCACATCTTCAGAAGCCCTTCCGCTGGGCCTGGGCCATGTACCTTGCGTGGCAGCTCGTAAAAGGCATTTCACAAGCTGGCGGGTCGTTTTCGCATGACTCACGGAGTTCGCGAACCAAAGATGTTCTCACGAGACAGATGGCCAACGATTGAGAAGACAGCAAACATTCGGACTGGGCAGGAAAGACTTGCAGCAGTTGGTCAGAGAAACGGAGGACTTCCAGCGATAGTGACCATCGCGGCATTCCCCTGAGTCGGTGTGTTCAGGCTCCCGATAGTTCCCGTTGATCAAGACAGTTCCCGAAGCATTAGCGACACCGGAAACGGTGCAATTGTTCTGGTCCAACGGTGGTCGCTTTGTAGCAGGCGCGAACGGGCACAGGGGACTGTACGGGTCATTCTCCACTAACAACTTACCCAAGGCATGGTTGCGCGTGTACCGTGCCATCGAGGAAAGGGGAGGCCGTGGCAGGACGCTCCGAATCGACAATTGGCCATTTCATTAATTTTTGTATCTAGATGTAGGTTCCTATCTAAAACGGTCGTTTTATATACTGGTTGGTTTTCTCATTTGATACAAAAGACACCTATCCCCTTTCATTTTAGAAACCTCTAAGCTTTACAGCATGAATAACCAACGCCCACATGAACAATCAAGCTTCTTGTCGCAAGTGCAAATTATCTTTCCTTTTTGACGATCGATCAAATGCCTCGTATTCAGGTAACCTGATATTTTCAAAAAAGGCAAGCAAATCAGGAAACGGGCGCTTGGTTTACCAGCCTCCATGTGATTCCTTAGAACATATGCCGTATACCCTTTTCTTGTGGGGAGATAATTGTGTGTCGCTTTGGGTCCTTGAGTGGACGGGTTTCAGGTCCTTCGTGTCTGGAGCAGCTCCTCCATTTCTCCAGGTCTTCCGAGCTCCTCGGTCATTTGCCACAGCATCAACTAGTGGAAGTCTTCGGGTACGACATGATGAGGTTGGGATGGCTGTGCGTGGCGTGTGTGTGTGTGGCACGACTGCTGGAGTTGTGCTGATGATGTTTGGGAGACCATCTTCAAAGAAACCAAGTGGTCCCCAACTTGCCAATGAAAGGATGGCAGCCGATTGCTACGACGAGAGTTTCCAGTATTTTTTTTTTAAATAAATTATGACTGTTGACGGTTTTCCACACCATTCTCTTGAATATTACCGTCCTTAGATGTACGACCGGAAGACCAAAAGTGGTTAAGATTGACAGTGCGAGGTTTGTATGTTTTCAACGTGTCCAGTTTATGCTGTAGGGTTGATGTTCGACTTAGAGGAAGCAAACCTCCGAAGAATACCCCGATGCATACTTAACCTCTGAAAATGCTACTACTTCAGTCTTCACACTGCATGAAGCATACCCCCAAAGCATACCTTGGAAGCATACCCCATAATTAGTCAAACATCCCAACCTGGTAACACACCCATGTTTGTCTTCAACCTTTCCTTGGGATGACTGAACCATACTGAACCCACTGAATAAAAAACATAATTAAGAAAATCAATGAGTTGAAACCACAAGCCAGTTCTCCTTTTTTCTCTGTATCGCTTCGACCCATCCGGCAGAACACGACCCGGCTTTCGATACGTCGAACACAGGTCCTTCGGCCGCGTCCGTGTCAAGCCACGGGATGGAGACGCAAAGGATGGAGAGCCCGGCTGGGTGTGACTTGGATCTGAGACTTCGTAGCGTTCTTGGTTCCGTTCGCAGCGATGCCAGGAGCCCCGTTCGTAGCTTGTTTGTTGGGTCTGGGCACTTGATCGGTCGGTTGGAGCTTGAGCCACCCAAGACTCCTCGGGGTGAGTGCTAGACTCCTCGGGGTTGAGGGAAGCTCGGGGAAGCTCACTTCAATGGCGCCTATCTCCTGTGAGCACCACTTCTTTGAGGTTTGATCAACAAGGTCAGCGATCCAACATCACCAGAGGGCGGTAATATGTGACATGACTTCTTCTGCAGGAAGACAAGTTTGGACTAGGTCTCCAGGAAGTCGATCGTGGAGAGTATATAAGATATATAAGACTCAACCGCCGTTACCTGAAGCAGCAAAAATCCTGCAGCGCCAAGGGAGAAGGGCAGAATACCTAAATAAGTGTGCTGCTTTCTCGGTCGACTCGGTCCCACTAGACAATGGCATACAAGTCCTTTGGGCCTTTGAGGCCCCATTTTGGTGCCTTTGAGAGAGGAATCCGTCTGACTCAGTCTGACCCGACCCGAATCCACAGATCTTCGATGCCATCCCAACCCCTTTAGACGGGGGGTCCAAACGACACGACCACGGACCAAGTTCCACAACTTGGACGGGCGAAGTCCGGTCAATCACAGCGGTGGGTGAAACGCAGTTGGGCAGCATCCCCAAAGCCCAAAAGTGCTCAGTGCGGTTCTGCCATTTGCTGTTGTGAACATCACTTATAGTGACTTAGTGTCCCATTGCCCTGGGTTTTGGCCCTCCCATGTCATGCCAAGTGTGATCACAACCAGGAAACAGAGGACCATGCCTTGTTGTCTCGCGCGGGTGTTTCCGATTGAACAGCGGTCGCGTTCAGGCTACTGGAGGACGAGTTCAAGGGAGACTTGCTCAAAGCAGTGCGAGTCTGAAAAAGGTCCTTGCCAGTCTAAGATATATACTTGAGAACATGGGAGAAAATATGAGAACATATTACAGTGTCTCCCGCTACATTCGGCAACTGTGAAGTTGGGGGCAGAAATCACCCATTTATTCTATGCATGCGAATTGGAGTTGGTTGTCAAGATCTTGCTTACGAAAAACTGCGCAAACAAATTCAACCATGGAATTCGGAATGAGCCTGAATTTGTCGGTCCTAACCTCTTCACGACCCGCATTTTCTCAGTCTTTGATAGTCTCTCCAGTTCATGTTCAGTGTCCAGTCCCATTAACACATTTCACATCCTTCACCTAGCAGGTCCACGGAGAATTGGCTTGAAAGCAGACAAGAAACGCCAGCAGAGTGATAGCAAAGAGTCATTCAAGATATTCTTACATATCATATATGTGTAGTATATATATATATACATATACAAATATTCTGACAGTCATTTAAGATACTCAATGTAGCATGTTAGTCAGTCTGTAAACAGCAGCTTGACTCAAAAAGATGAACACAACAACAAAAAAATGAACGCTGCCTATGAAAATCAGGTCCACAAAATCTGGAATGAAGGCAAACTTCGCCAAAACATGACCCTGCAGGAGAACCACGGCCAAAATTTGTGGATCCGTAGATGATTTGGACCTTCATGAACTCACAGATGAAGATGAACATTGTTCTTAGCAGCTAGAGATGAAAGTACAACTTGGAGGTTTGATCGTGCTCCATCGTGCTCCACCCGCCTCACATCAGAAATCCGAGGTTTCTCTTCCCAAGTCCAGATTGCAGGCAGGACAATTCTGCGACCCAGAAGAGGACACAGGTGTAGTTGGAGTCTTAGATTCAACAAATCAATCCAATTTCAGCCACATCAACTCTTCTCACACCTGTGATCCACCCTGGCTGTGTAAACCCTGCCGCCACGGTGGCAGAAGCCTGCCATGTGGCGGCTGGCCGCTGTGACCTCTGCGAGCGGCTTGCTGCAAGCACTGGCGCAGGATGCGAATTTCATGTGCCAGTGTGATTACCAGGAGCCTTTGACTGCCGAGAAACTGTGAAATGAAAAGAATTCTATTAAAATCGTGTGGAACAAGGCTCAGACTGGAATCAGGCGTTTGTTGGACTTGCGGATTCCTGCAACGTCACAAGCTTTAGGAAGACGGTGCAGCCCCTGCATTCGCTCGAAGTCTCGAAGTCACGCTCGAAGTCATGCCCGTCACAACAACGGCCGTCACAACTTCCAAGGATAACACCTGGGTGCATCACTTCAGCGCCATGTTGATACACATCCAAGACCTTCCAAAGACCTTGCCACTCGGTGCTGCAAGCCGATGGATGCATATCCGTACATGTCAAGAAGAGGTGGGAAGCCCGCACCTGTCATAGCCCTGGCTCGTTTTGAGAAGTTATTCTTCTTTGGACACAAAAGACACGCCAATTTTCGCGTGCTGGGATTTATGCTGAGGATTCAATTTGAACATATTTGAACAGTTTCATTTGAACAGGTGCTGGACTCCAAGGTAGCCAGTTTTTGTTTCCCATATTTGTAAGACGTCATCATGAAGCAACCAGCATCCATCCAATTTTCTCTAGTCTCACGCGTGTCCTGGCTTCTGACGCCAGTTCAATCGCGTTTCTCTCCGCGTTCAACGTGCGCACGGTGCCCTCCTCGCGTTTCACCTCCGAGGTCGAAGGAGGCGGATGCTTCGACGCAATGGATCATGTCTCAGTCCTGTGAGGAGGATGCCACGGTGTCCCTCGGCGCGGATGTTGTTGTTGGTCCGGACGTCCTCCGCACTGCTCCGCACCGCCGTCGGGTGCAAAGGCTGGAAAGGTTCTCTTTGCGTTCAACGGTTCGGTGCGGGAAGAGCACCAAAAGACATGGACTAGTGATGACTATCTCGTGACTATAGTGACTATAGGTGGTGGTTTTGGAGATGTTCATGTTTGACCTTTGCTTGGGATGATCGAAACCCTCAGGCTCATGCTTTTCTGAAGCCACCAAGCGACCATGCGGTCCACTCCAGGTCTGGGTGCGGGAACTTCATCCAACTTGGATATCTCCCTTCGGCTTCGGTCGATCTCAATGGAATCTGGTGTCTTTCCAGGAGTCGACTCCCAGGTCGAGTGGTTTTAGACACGACATGGCGACAACGTGGCAACTCTACCCACGACACGTGGCATAACTGCTGGAGACCTGTTCTCGTTGGTGAGAACGGAATCAACAGAAAGGCATCACGGTATCACGTTAAAACAAGAAAAGGGATCAGGAAACCTCCTCCAACTCTAGGGTTTCAGCTGAAACAGCCACCCGGAGTACCTTTCAGACTGAGCTGAAACCTTGGGCGAGCAAACAAACCCCGAGATACTCCGGAAACCGGAAACCTCTCAGACCTTCTTCCAAAACACGGACAGGCGGTCAAGACCTCACCGACAGACACTGTACTGGTACTAGGAACAAGTGCCACGCTAGTAGTAACAGGTGCCTTACTGGTATAGCGTGTCACTTCAAGATTTGGTGGCCCAGAGCCAGGTGACCCCAGGTTCCAGGTGTTTGTCTTGCTGGACCCTCCAGGTTCGCACCCTGAAACAATGGCAGCATATGGCAGCACGACCTTGTACCAAAGCAGGTATGTTATATATTTGCATGTCTTATCATGTCTTACTTTTTTCTTACTTCTTCTATGCTCAAAAAAGGAGGGTCCAGATTCCCCACGTCTCGAGCTTCCCCACTCCTTAAGGTATCCCAATTCGCAGAAGACCTTGGACATCCACGAGGCGGGCGGACAGCACCCAACGAGTCGGATGGCCCGATGGCGGAGACCGTTGATGAAACCTGGTTTGGGGAAACAGTGGGGGCACGGGCACAGCACATCCACATAAGTAGAAAAGTAGAAAAACACACATAAAGTTGTGGAGAGATGTAGAGAGAGATGTGCATATCATATATATATATATAGATCAAGCCTTTGAAAGGGAATTTGTTGAATGTCCTTTCGATCGGGACCTCGGCACATCCGAAACTCGCAGGTAGGATCGGCACCTGAGATCACGAGATGCAAGACTCCCCTAGCGTGATGACGAGACACCCGGTTTTCCCCAGCAACCGGTGATTTCGGGCAGTCCGGGACTGAACTCTTCACTTTCAGTCCGAAACTTGCCATGCTGCAAGGTCAGAGAAGCACTCCAATCATGCGGCGGCGGCATGTACCACAACGCCTTGCCCACCGCTTCCACCCAAGACGTTTGACGACGTGTTGTTTTTTGTGTGTTTTTGTCCAGGTGCTGCAACTGCAGGAGTCTCAGACAGCTGAAGTGCCTCTGTCTCCAGCACCACGACCGGGCGAGCGCGCAGAGCTCGCGCAGTGGAGTCGTTGAATGGGGAGGTGAAGAGGGGATTCTATGAGGCATTTGTCAGGTTGTCGCATGGATGTAGGGCATTGCTTGATGTTGAGAGAATGTTGGTTGGATCAACAAAAATGACATCCTTTTCTGGGGGTTTCTCCAAATTCATGCCCTCACAAGAAATGATGGAAGCTCAGCCCCCTATAGTTGCAGGGTCCGCTTTTGTATGTTTCTTGTAACAAAGCGTAAACCTCCAGAACTGAGCCCAGCTACTCTCACTTCAATCTTCCACTCGTGGACTGGGTGAAAAGCCAAGTTCACCCCAAACACCGCCGAGACCATGGGAAGTTCACCTCCCGGCCCAGAAGCTGCTAGTAGCCAGAAGCTAGTAGGTTGGAGGCCAAAGTCTGTTCGTCTTTTGGAATGCTTTTCGAGCTTGGACCTGCCAGTGGATTTCCTCGGTTCCAGGTGCACAACAGCTGTCTACCAGGGCATTTAGCCATGGCAATGGTTTGCGCTCAACAGTGGCTTCTTGGGTTCAATTTGCTGGTGTTGGCAGACAGTTGTTTTCTGTGAATGAGTTTCTTTTTGCTTATTTATAGGGCGAACAATTCAAAGTCTGAACTGGCACGTAAGTTCTTGTTCCAAACGATACCAGCCCTTGGAAGCTAGAACATGTCATATTGTGTCCTTTTTGGATGATGCTGCTGTGGTTCTACTTCTTCTGTTTGACCTAAGGGTCACACCTGTTGAAAAGCCAATCCTTTGGCTTTGGGCTGCGCCAAAGCCATCCGCCTCGACACGAAGTCCTGCTCCGAGCCGAGGATCGCGAAGAAGTCCCTCATGGGCGTGGTGAAGTGGGTCTCCAAGATGAACGAGCTCATGACGGTCGGGGCACCGTCGACACCGTCGTCGCGTCCCGTCGAAACCTTCACGGTTCGGCGGAGGGCAGTGCAGGGTTGGGCTTTCAGGGTGTTCAGAGGAGGTTTTTCCAGGATCCAGCGGAAAGAGAGGGGTGCTTGTTTGGCTTGCCGGCTTGCCCAAAACGGGTTGAAGAGGTTGGTTCCTTTGCAAATTCCAGGTGGGCAGTGATATGGTTGCCATGTTCAAAGCCGATACTGACGAGTGCTGTGGAGCGGCTCAAAGATCACAACACTCAACAACTTAGTCCACTTGGCGCCACCATGTTTAGAATGGAAACTCCTTCCGGGTCACCGGAAAACCATTTAAACATGTTTAAAATAAAATAATATTGGACTTCAAACCGGGTTTGTTTTTTGCCAGTTGGTTTGGGTTGTGTTTCAATGGTTTTGTTCCCCAAACAGGTTTACCTGTGAGGGGTTCTTACTCCTTTTAAAGGGGTGCATGCTCGGGCCGGATGATTTTGAGTTTGTCTCCGGGCTTGTGTTCCCTTGTCTCCCACTTGTCTCCCACTTGTCTCCCAGTAAGCTCTGGATGCTCTCAGTGCTCTGGCCGCATGATTTTATACTTGTCTCCCATTTGTCTCCTACTTGTCTCCCAGTAAGCTCTCGATGCTCACAGTGCTCTGGCCGCATGATTTCAGGCTTGTCTGAGTGCTTGGCCGCATGATTTCACACTTGTCTCCCATTTGTCTCCCACTTGTCTCCCAGTAAGCTCTGGATGCTCTGAGTGCTC